TGAATATGTTTGTGCTGGAGTAATCCCTCATCTGGGGAAAGTTCTCACTCCTAAAGGCAAATATGGCTAATTCTGACAAGACACCCGTAGATAATCCATACACAGGGCACAGGAGTGCAGTGGGTGGCTGATGTCTTTATAACCACAGGAATAAGGAGGATATACATTACTGAATGTACAATTTAACATAGGGTATGCTAAAAATGATTCATTAAATGGTTGCAAACAATTTATATTGGCTGAATTTAAACAAATCAATTAAATTTAGTGATGCTCAACTTCATTTGTTTATTTAAATTCAGCCCATATAATTTGTTAGCTTAAAAATGAGTAAATATAATGTAAATATCATATAAATATAATAGAAATAGTGTACATATAAAGTAAATAATCATCAAACCATCTTCATTTTCTTTCCTGTTGGACAACTTGACCAAAAAGTGGAATAGGAATAAAATGTGCCCCACAAATTGTTGTGGATGTTATTCATAAAAATGCATTGTATGGATAAAAATGTGACAAAAATCATTGGAATATAAAGATCATGTCCCATAAAGATGTTTAGTCAATTTCCTACTGTAAATATATCAACACCTTATGTTTGTTTATGATATGCACTGCTAAGCACTTTATTTGCACAATTTTATTGGTGACTTTTCCTGATATTTATATTATTCTGCACCTCAGAGTCCATCAGATAGTTGTATCACAGGCTAATAATGTTCTGTCCTAACAAATCATAAATCAATGGAAAACTATTTATTCAGATTATATTATAATGCATAAATCGTAATTTCCGATAATTGATACCTTTGACTGGTTTTGTGGTTCAGGGACACAAATGTCATTCAGTGTAAAAATAATCCCTCCCCCAACCCCTCTTCCCAAACATGTTGTCAGGCATATTTAGTACAAGAATTATTTGATTAGCATATCTAAAGTATAATATTTCTTTTTAACCTGTGATAATACAGGTGTTTTTTAATTTGACATAATTCTGCTATGCTAAATGATGAAGGAATAAAAGTTCATCCATAATTTGAGTTTATTTGAACATGACGTAACGTTGAAAATTTCTAATTTAAAATATGAATGTATTAATGTAAAATAATATATAAATATTTAACAAAATAAATTAATACATTTAACGGTATTATTAAATAACAATAATAATATTAATAACAATAATAATAATAGAAATAGTAATAATAATAATAATAATAATAATATTAATAATAATAGTAATCAGAACCATAAGCCTAAAAACAATATTATAAATAATAATAATAAGCCTAAAAATAATGCTAGAAATAATAATAATAGAAATAATAATAATAATAATAATAATCATAATTGAAATTATAACAATATTAATAATAATAATAATAATATAAATAATAATAATGATAAGCCTTAAAATAATTATATAAATAATAATATTAACAATAATAATAATACCAACAATAATATTATAAATAATAATAATCATAAGCCTTAAATAATAATAATAATATTAATCATAACAGTAATATAAATAATAGTAACAAATAATAATCATAAGCCTTAAAATAATGATAAAATAATAATAAGCATAAGTATAAAATATATATATATAAATAATAATAATAATAATAATAATAATAATAATAAAAGAAATAGTAATAATAATATAAATAATAATAATAATCATAAGCCTTAAAATGTAATTATTGATAATAACAATATAAACAATAATAATAATAAGAGATATAGTAATAATAATAATATAAATAAATAACAATACTGAGAGAAATAGAAACAATATTAGTGCTACTACTACATCTAACATTAATATTAATAATATTAATAATAAATATAAATAATAATAAATTTTTTAAAATTAATTAATAAACAATTTTAATAACAAAAAATAATAAACCTTTTAACTAAATCAGCTTTTACATAAATTAAAATACTCTTTATTCCTATGCATTTTCAGCATCATCACTTCAGTCCTCAGTGTCACATGATCCTTCAGAAATCATTCTAATATGCTGGTTTGCTGCACATAAACCTTCCTTGCATGATATATTTTAAATCTCAGTGCCATGTTACGCAGTGCAGATCTAGTTTAGAAGTTGTGAGCGATCCCGTTTACTGGATGCCATTAGCTTACAGCCACTTCAGTCAAAACATTGATCGCTCTAATTGAAGCGATAGCCAATTTCCTCACAGTAATGAAGCCACCGTAATAACCTGCCGTAATATAATATACAGGCTAATCAGCCACAAAACGAGTTCTTTTATAGAGGCCTTTAAACTAGGGAGAGTTTCAGAGGTACAGTTAAAAAAGTCATCAGGCTGCATCAAGCCAAAGAGGAACTAACAACTAACATGTTGCAGCAGAGGGACATTTTAACCCTTGCCTGCTCCTTTAATGAGATTGGCTTAATGGAAGCCCCGGACCCCCTTCTGGTCCTTATCCCAATAATTAAAGACCTGAGGCCATAGAGATGGGGTGTCCTCCCCCTCCAATTGGAGCATATTGCTTATTGATTTTACCCAAAGGTTTCATGCCTGGCAAAGAGTTTTTCATAGAAAGCTGTTGACCCAAAGATGGGATCTAATTAATGGAAGCATATATTTTGCTGAGCATCATTTTGAGTCTGAAAAACAGCAAAAGGACTTTTCTGACTGGTGTTTTGTCTAGTTTCTGAACTGTAAGAAATGCTGGTTCCACATAAGTCCTTCATGTTGTCCTGACACAAATCGATTAAGTTAAGTTAGACG